TGAGTGAGATGGAAGAAGAGGGTGTGGGAGTGTAGTTTGCCCAGGGCGGGTGAATGGTGATGTGTCACTGAAATTCCCCAGCAGCTTGTTTGGTTGTGACTCTGGCTGTGGGGTAGATTGCCAATGCCCCAGGAAAGATGTTAGGACTAGTTTAGAAGGCTGCAAATTAAAAATGATTTATATTTTTGGCCAGTTCACTGTCTTCTAATCCAACTTCTACAGTTTATGCCAGTTTCAGCCCAGTATCTCTCTCCTCCATCTTGGCTTTCCTTTCTGGAAGATGAAGTTAAAAAGGGAAAGAAAATGGAAGATGTGGAAAAGAAAAGAACATTTCCTCCATTTCTGGTGGAAGTGTCTATCAGACTTCTAAATCTCTACCTTCCTTTTCATTTTCACTATGTTCATAAGGCAAGGCTTTTAAACCAATCCCTAGAAATGTTGAAGTTCCTTGTAAGTTTTTCAATTTTATTTTATTTTAAGAAATGATGTTCCCCCCTCCCCAACTGCTAATGGAAATATTATAGCATACTTTCAAAACTTATCATTCTTCTAACCTTTTCTAAATATAGAAATAGAGGTAGCAAGTTACCTTTGCATCCAATTTTACACTTGAAAAAAAAAATGGTTCCCTTCAGTTATGTTAACATGAGAATCTGATATTTTAAGGAAAGGATCCTTAAAGCATGAAATATTAATAATTAATAATAATAGATAACAGCTAATATATACACATTTATAATATACTTCACATAGGTTATCTCATTTAACATAAGTAACAATTCTACGAAAGAAGCTATTATTGCCATTTCACAAAGTAGGGGATCTTTATAAAGGCAGTGTCTCTCAGTATCCCCTCATGGTTTGCAGTTCTCTTAGAAAAAGCAGTTGATATTTAAGTGATAAAGTAGAAATATTAAAAAATGTAACTGTGTTTATACCTCAGACTGGTTGAGTGGGTCAGACCAGTTATACTCCCAAGGGTATTATGAAAGTTCATTTGGGCATCTGAGTGAGTACTTGGAGGAAAATCAAGGAAACGCAACCGTTTATGTCAGGTTCTCAGTGGTCATTCCAGTTTACAAAAGAGAAGCATAGAGAGCCCTTGGGGAGGCACATGGGTATCCTTTAAATTGTCAGCTGACTCCAGGGTGGAAGGCAAAGCCACGTGCTGGAAACACATTCTGCCAAAAGGCAGAAATGTTGTCAGTTTAACCTTCATTTCTGCCCAGGTGCCTGAAGTGGGTTTTATTATGTAAATCCAGCCAAGCACCAGGAATGAATACGATGGGGCCCACCCTAGAATGTGAATAATCTCCTTTGTCTTGACTTTCAATAAAACTTTCTGTTTTTCTTGCTGTATAAAATAAACCTGCTGTATGGGCTCCTCGGGGTCACTGCTCCTGTTCCTGTCCATGTCAGAGGACAGTGGTCCCACCAGGCCCCAGCTTTTTCCTTCCATCTCTGTGTCTGTCTCTTTCTTTCATTTTCTCAATCCTGCTGAGAGGGAGGGGCAAGGCGGGGCTAACTCCTGACTCCATTTTGTACTGTGGGGCAGGGTGGAGCTATCCTCCATTTTGTAACTGGACTCTAGCCTTCACCCAACCAATCAGGGTCAGCCTAAGCAGTGACATCACCATCCCTATAAAACCCCTTGATCTGCTGAAGCTCGCTCTCTTCTGCCACGCCAATGTCGGTGTAAGTGGGACAGAGCCCATGGGCTCTTTTGTTCTTTGAATCGAACTCAGCTCCCTGGTGGTCCTTGGGGATCACGAAATCTGGGTGTAACACTGCCCCTACGCAGGAACTGGACTGCTCTCTAGCAGTGCTGGACGTGGAAAAGAGAGAAATATTTACAGAGAAGCACACCAATTGGAAGAATATACATGGAATCAATTTTATCATCTTAAGAAAGAAGGATGAGCCTAACTCTTAGGAAAGACACAAGGTCATCTCTCTCTAGGAGGATGATAAGAGGCATTCTCTATTCCCAGCCCTCATGATACCACCTTTCCCAGTCCTTCTCCTTTACCCACCCCTTTTACCACTTGCATGTGAATTCCACATGAGCAGAGGTTTTGCCTGTCTTGTTCCCTGTTGAATCCCCAGGGCTTAGAACAGTGTCTTGTACCCAGTGAATACTCAATAAATTATATACTTTTGAATCAATAAATGGGTAAATTTAAACTTGGGGAATATTGAAGTTGTTGAGTCAGAGTTAGGACCTTACAGAGATCTGTTGAAATTGTAAGCTAAATTTACCAAGATAAAAATCTAACAGAAAACGTGACAAAACTTGCCCTTGGGTTCAAATATCATCTAAACAAAGTCCCTTGGTTTGAGTCATCTAAGGAGGAAAAGGGGGTAGTTTCAGAGCAGTCTGAAGCTCAGTGTTAAGGTAGGGAGCTGCCTTCCTTATTGCCAGTATGACACTGGGTTCAGAGGGCCAAATGGAATATCACAGTAGCCCACTATCAAAGAACAGAGGCTGGGCAGCCTTTGGAAGCAGTTGAAGAGTCCACGGGACCTAGAAGCCAGTCCTCCTTGAACAAAAAGCCTATCACCTAAAATAGAGGATTATGCCGAGAAAAAGGAATCAGCGTCAGGTGCCAAGCTGAGCGGGCCAGGCTGATACAGGTGGACACTGTTACAATTAAATAAACAGTGTGTGCATTGTATCATAATCCATGTTTTACATTTTGAATTTTGTTCTCTCGCATTTCCTCAGTAAAAATTCCTTTTACAAAAGCCTCATTGAGTCTTTTCATCAGGGTATGGAGCTATGGAAACAAACTGCTTAGTTTACTTTGCATTCTGCCATTCACTTCTAGGTGCCTTTGAGCAAGTGTCTTGACCTTTCCAGGCCTCATTTCCTTGTTGTGAAGTGAGGGTGGTGAGAGTACTTACCACATAGATTTGCCATGAGGATTAGTTGAGATAATATCTGTAAAGCTCTTAACGTAATATTTGAGTTCAATCAGTTTGCTCTTTGTTTATTAGTGCTACCAAGGTGACGAGGCAAACGTGACCCTGTGGGATTTCTGAATCCAAGTGTAAAAGGAGACACCCTATCATATTTGAGAAGGAAGAAGAGGTAAGATCTGCTTTGGGTGTGTTGAGTTGAATGATTCAGTGGGAAATCTAGGTAAGGATCTGCAATTCAGGAGAGAGACCAAGGCTAAAGATTTGAATTTATGCATCATAAGCAGAGGTGTCTGGTAAAAGAGAATGTCTAAGAAAAATATATACAGAGAAAGGAGAAGCTGTTTCTAGGGGACTGTCTCCCATATTCAAGAATTATCAGAAGAAGAGAAACCAAGATGGCGGCATAGGGCAGACACCTAAATGCAGCCTACCACAACAAATTTAAATTTAGAATGGGAAAACAGGGAAAACATCACCCTGAAGCACCCAATGGCTGGCTGAGAGAAGGCTCTACCATCTGGGAAGGAGAGAGAAGGCACACTGAACCTCAAGAACTGTGAAGGTGCAGCGAAAAGGCGGCTGCCAGACTTGGCTGCTGGCTTGGAGAGGGTGGGCTGAGTTCACTGCTGGCTTACTCCTTGCACATGGAGAGGGCGCACAGCTAATGCGCAGCTGGCTTTCTTGTGCTGGAGGAAAACAGAACCACCCTATTGCTCTGATAGACGGCCCCAGACAGAGAGAGGCCAGACTGTGAGGCAGTGGGCAGAGATCTCTTGGAGGTGTGTGAAGCCAGCAGCCATTATAGAGTCCTAAAAACAGATTGGAAGATCGCAAGAATCAAGTCAAAGATTTGGAACACAAAGAGCCAGAGGACACTCCTCCACAGAAACAAGAAGATAAGAGAATCCAGAAAGTTGAAGATAATGTAAGAAACCTCTGGGACAATTTCAAACAAATCAACATCAGAATTATGGTGGTCCGAGAAGAAGAAAAAGAGCAAGATACCAAAAACATACTGAACAAAATACTGACATAAAACTTCCCCCATCTGGGGAAAGAAATAGACTTATAAGTATAGGAAGCGCACAGAACCCCAAACAAAAGGAATCCAAAGAGGACCACACCAAGACACATCATAATTAAAATCCCAAGAGCAAAAGACAAAGAGAGAATATTAAAAGCAGCAAGAACAAAGCAGGAACACCCATACAATTGTCAGCTGATTTCTCAATAGAAACCATGCAAGCCAGAAGGGAATGGCAAGAAATATTCAAGGTGATGAATAGCAAGAACCTACAGCCAAAAATACTCTACCCAGCAAAGCTATCACTCAGAATCAAAGGCCAGATAAAGAGTTTCATAAATAAAAAAAAGCTAAAGGAGTTCATCACCACCAAACCAGAATTATATGAATTGCTGAAAGGGGTTCTTTAGGAAGAGGAAGAAGATATAGATAAAAATTATGATCAACAAATATGTAACTATCAACAAGTGAAACTAAAAACCAAGGGAATCAAAAAACCTGATGAACAATATTAACTGTTGAATATAATAGAATCAGAGGTATGAAAGGGGAGTGAACTGATGATTCTCGTGAAAAAGAGGAGTGGGCGTGCGGGAAGAAACTGAACATAAACTGTACACCTATGGATGAGATCAATGGGGTGTGTGGAAGGGCAGAGGATGGGGTGAGAACCTGGTGGAGGGGTGCAATGAAGGGGGGAAAAATGAGGAACATTGGTAATAATATGAACAATAAAGATTTATTAAAAAAAAAAAAAGAAGCAACCAATGGCCCTAACCAGTTTGGCTAAGTGGATAGAGTGTCAGCCTGTGGACTGAAGGATCCTAGGTTTGATTCCAGTCAAAGGCATGTACCTTGGTTGTGGGCACATCCCCAGTAGGGGGCGTGTAGGAGGCAGCTGATCGATATTTCTCATCGATGTTTCTGATTCTTTATCCCTCTCCCTTCTTCTCTGTAAAAAATAAATAAAATATTTTTTTTAAAAGAAGAAGAAGCAATCAATGAATAATAAATAAGTGGAGCAACAAATGAGAAAAAAAAAAAGAATTATCAGATGTGAAGAGGGTCAGAGGAAGCAGCCAGAGGTAGATGGAAAACCAGGATAGAGGAATGTTGGGAATTTAAAGGTAGGATGTTTGATTATGGAAGAAATAGCCAAGGAAGATACATCAAGTGAGCCGGGATTGGAAATGGCCATTAGATCTAACAATTATTATATCACTGTTTTTCTTTGTCAGGCCAGGCAAGGAAACAGAGGTGACAAAAAACCAAAGTGCTATTGGTTAAAAAATAAAACGGTATATTCAAAATATAGTTAGGAAATAATTAGATTATAAGACTGTATGCCTAATATGGCCCATTTTTATTTAAAAGGAAATGAAATCTTTACAATGTTACCAGTCTTACCACTATTTCTTTGGTAATACCAATTGCTGACTGATTGTACAGAATGGAAGTCCCAGCTTCCCCCTGACTGTTAATTCAATTCTATGCTGCTTCTGGCAGCTCTGACTTTCAGACCTTGTGCGAAGTTTCCAATCTGCTCTAAACTCTGGGCCAAAGAACTCCGCTTCCTGTGCCTGACTTCTGATGCTCTCCAAAGACTGAGCGATTACGCAGCCCTGATCTTCCGGTTGCAGGCTGTGTTGTAACATATTCCACCTCCACCCATCCAGCTTGAACCCTGGGACACAACCCCAGCAGAAATATGTGCTCATGCCAGATTGCTCCAGTGGCTGAGGCAAGGGTACTGCTCTTAGGAGTAATGTGATGAAGACATGGAGGCTTGCTTCTAAGGGAGCTTTGAACCTTTGCTCCTTAGAAAGTTGAAGCCCCAGCAAAATTGGAGTCTTTTCTGGTTACTGTAGGAAACGTGTTCCCACATCACTTCCCACTTTCCCATGCTGAGTCATGTCCTGGTTTTATTTTCTCAAGCCAGATAACAGCTGTTATCAATGACACAAACATTTTACCACTAATGAGAGAGTTTTACACTCTTGAAAACACATTTTATTTTTAAGCTCAATTATGAGAGGGAAAAAAAGCAAGACATGAATTTTGGGGAATAAATGTATCCACTCACTTCAAGCCTTCCCACCACACCCACTGGTCTGTGTGACTTTGGACAAATTCAGAACTTTTCTTAGCCTTGGTTTCCTCATTCATGAAAGAGAATTACGATGCTAACCTTCCCCATTTGTTGTGAGAAGTTCATGTGATAATAATACACAGATAGTTGCTTTTTTAAAAAAGTAAGCTTTCTCCAACTGTATTTCAAAAAGCACCTCATATTTTTCCTGAATGAGAATTTCCATCCCATGAAAATGGAAACATCTAAAAAAAACATGGCCACTTAGTTGAATTGTAATCTCCATCTCAAAATGCTCCTTACTCCCAGTCTTTCTCCTCTCCTCTGTAATTCTCAACTCAGCTTGCTACCTTCTTTCAGAAGTTGATTCTTAGAACTTGATTCTGTAGGGCATGTAAAATATTAACTAGTGTTATTCTCTCCCCCCACCCCCCTTATTGTCTCATTGTTTTTCCTTCTTTGTCTTTTCCTTGACCCCATAAAAAAACGAGTCCACATTCATTGCCTCAGGAAAGGGAAAAAGCATTGAGATTGTGCTTTTTCCTTAAGGGGACAAGACAGACCTAGACAGAGATGAAAAGTAAGGACTAGAACTTACTACTGTTTGCTTCCCTCACTGTTAAGGATTCCTTGGACTAGGGGTGTCCAACTCAATCAGAGAAGGGGCCAAAATCTAAAATCCAGCCTAAATCGCGGGCCGAATGGTTTACTGAACAGTCATAAACTGTCATTGTGATGGAAACGCAGCGGAGTGCAGTGATGACAGAGCGGTGCGGGCCACATTGCAAGGCCTGGAGGGACGGATTTGGCCCATGGGCCTTGTGTTTGACACATGTGCCTTGGACTGTCAGAATAAAAATGGAAATAGGCAGGGAATATTGGGGGGTTCCTGAGGAAGGTCCCATATCTGGCTCTGAGCCATGTACTTTGGCAACATGTACCGTGGGGCTTTGGCAACAGGTCCAGATAGCCTATGAGATCTGGGGGCAGAAAGGGCCTATCTGAACTTCTCTTGATGTCTCTGGATAGGTAGTAAAACCTGAGAGAAAGTGGTGTTCCATGGTATCCTAGCTATACAGGACTTTGGAAGCCTCATAGAGTTTCTCACACTGTACTTTGGTAAGGTGGGTAGATGATACTTAGCATCCAAGAATGGCACAGAAGGAGTTTCTGAAGGGCCTGTGCAGGCAGAAACAAAGGCCATTTTTGCAGGCACTGAAATGGAATAGCCACCAAGGGTGAGATGTGATAAAAGGGTGGATCAGCAGGTGCCAGTGTGGATAGATGACTTTGAGGCTCAAAGGCAAGTGCTCCTTTAATTCCTCAAACTCACTAGAGACACACAAACACACACACACACACACACACACACACACACACACACATTCGGTTAAACTATATATGTTACGCCCAGACTTCGTGATCCCCAAGGACCACCAGGGAGCCGAGTCCATGCAATAAACAAAAGAGCCTTTTCCATGCTAGCATGGACTCCATTCCACTCAAGCCGGCAGCATGGCGGGAGAGAGAGCGAATTTCGCCCAGTCCAGGGGTTTTACTCCTGCCGGTGGTGATGTTACTGCCTCGGCTAACCCTGATTGGTTGGGTGAGGGCTAGGGCTAACTCCGCCCTGTGGGGCGGAGTCGGGAGCTTATCCTCGCCCCACCCTGCCCTCTCATATACATGTACATATATGCATACCTTAGCACTAGGTAAGAGTCTAGAATTTAGATGAAAACAAAACTCAGGGAAAACAAGATTGCATTTCTACTGCCCCTATGGAATGGGGCATCAAGAAAGAGATTCGATTCTAGAAAAAATGAAGTTATATTTCTTAGAAATCAGATTTGTGGACTAAGGTACCTACCTGCTATGCTTTATTAGCTATGTTTTCTTTCTATTTATGTATTTATTTATGCATTTATCTATATATTTATGTATTTATTTACTGAGATATAATTGACATATGCTACATTAGTTTTAGCTGTACCACATAATCATTATATATTTGTATATATTGCAAAATGATCACAATAATAAATCTAGTTAATATTCATCACCATACATTGTTATATATTTTATCCTTTCTTCTTTTCTTTTTTCCCCTCTCTCCTCGTCTCTCTTTATCTTCCTCACTCCCTGCTTCTCTCCCTTTCTTCTTTTTATTTTGCACTATCCATCTCTCTCATTTGACATAGCCTCTTTCCCCTAGGTTTAGGTGAATGCTCAGGTCTCTTTTAACATTAATACCAAAACAAAGTAAAACCTAGGACCCATTTCTCACTGAGACTGTCTGGACTCCACCAGGACCAATCTTATTATTCTCTTAATCCCTATTAATATCAGATGCTATAAGAAGTCCTAGACTTGCATACTTAAATTATCATACAATTTTGCAAAGCCCAATTTTGTGCCATAAAATATTCCTTCCCAACTCTTTAAATGCTTCCATTGGACTCTTTGGAACAATGGGGCATCCTAGCCACATCTTCATGGATTCCTTTGCCTACTTGTTTTCAGGTCCATGACTACTCCTCCCTCCTGTGCTGTGTGTTATAGCTGGCAGAGTTCCTCAAAAGCTCCCTTGTTACCTGGCTGCCATCTAGCTTCAGCCAACAGAAAGCATTGATGGGACATTCAAGGGTGACAGGAAAGGAGAAGACAGGGTGTTCCTCCCCAAGCTTTCTCCTTCAGACTCCAACTGTGGCAACATCTTCTCTTTGGTTCCAGTTCCTTCTGGATGACTCTCCTCTAGGGTCCCACTTCCTTCTTGCTCTAGTTCCTGCTGGGAGGCCCAGCTCCTGGTCTCTGGTACCATCAGCTCCTCTTCTGGACCTTCCAACCAAACCAGTGAAAGAGCATCCTTCTTCTTGCTAATGTCTGGGTTTCTTCACTGTATTCAGTGGATCTTTTCAGCATTTCCAATACTTTTATATGTAGTTATTCAAATAATAAGAGCTGCTTACTTGGTGTGGTCTCTTCTCTTGATGGACCCTGAGTGGTACAGTATTATTTATCTTCCTGCTCTGAACTTAAGATTTTCTCTGAGGATCCTACTTCCTCTTTGGTATTTCCATTCAGAACAGTATTTTTCTCCCATGGTTCTATATGTGAATTAAGTATCTTCCTTTTTTTTCTTATTACTATTTTAAGACCATTCTTCTTGCACTTTCCCCAAACCCTTTAAATTTTGAATCTTTATTAGACTGTGCTGTGTCCTTGCCTCCATCTTGTGCCCTTTGTATCATTCATTTCTGGATGATTTTAGCTACTGACTCCTTATGACTCTCTTCAGCACATTCCTGTCTTGATTCTTGGTTAATTTAACACATGTGTAAATGATTCCTCCAACATCCTGTCTTTCCCACTTCTGGAATCTTCTCCACTGATGATACTGCCTCTGCTCTACCTTAACTATTCATTTCCTCATTAATATCATAGGCTTTATAATTGCCAGTAACTATGACAATTTCATAATCTTAATTTTACATATCTTACCCTCTGATCACTCCCTCTAGTGACCTATATTTCCAGCTCACTCTGGTACTCAAACTTCATCTAATTCTTGATCCCAGCATGGGTTTTTAATTCAGTTTATTAATTCTTCTGCCACTGTTTATTACTCCTTATTCCTTCATTTACCTCTTGACATATATTACATTCCAATTCAGTTATTACTCACTCCTATGCACAGAGCCTCAAATATTTCTAGCCCCTCTCTTGCTTCAACACATTCAGTGTTATATACTTCAACCCCAATTAAAACCAATTTTCTGTCTGCTCTGCACCTAGATCTAAGCAAGTGCATATACCTGGGCAAAAATACAGCCACTTGAGTGAGGAAAATGATTATCAAGAAACTCTTAATGCTGATTGAGAAACCAACTATTTTCTTGGTCAATTCTTGACCTCTTTACTTACTGCATACCTTCTGTTCTCTTCAAAACATGCTGCAGCCATAGAGATGTGCCACTCA